GATGATGAGTCTGATCCAGTATTGATGCTGGTGCAGGTGCAGATGATGAGTCTGAAGCTGCTGCTGCTGAACTTGATGCTGCTGATCCTGAAGCTGCTGATCCTGATGAACCTGAACCAGATGATCCTGAACCTGATGAACCAGATCCTTGTCCTGATGAACCTGAGCCAGATGATCCTGAACCTGAAGCTGCTGCTGCTCCTGATGAAGCTGCTGCTGATGATCCTGAACCTGATCCTGATGATGCTGAGTTAGGTGAGTTACTGGTTGATGTTGTTGTTGTTGTTTTTGTTGGTCCTGATGATGAATCTGAAGCTGATGCTGCTGATGCTGCTGCTGCTGCTGAACTTGAAGCTGCTGATGATGAGTCTGATCCAGTATTTGATGCTGGTGCAGGTGCAGATGATGAGTCTGTACTCCAGTTGGATTAAACTGATTACTTTTAGTTTAGAAATTTAACTCTTAATGATGAGATTCCAAGGTTTGAAGGAAAGGGATCCAGGGGTGAAGAAGAGTTTCAAAAGAGAAGGTTCCAATCTAAAGTTGAGATTCCAATTTCGGAAAGATGTCCGATGTTGAGATTAGTACATGTATTTCTCACCACTGAGACGTGGAATTGTTCACTGATCACAGTTTTAATCTATAGATTAATGGACACAGTTCACAGCAGTTGGTGAGGCAAGAGTGGCGAATCACTAGTGGATCTCAGATATTATCGAGAGTCGAGCACGGGTTCATTTCCAATTTAATACAAAGGATTAGTGGTTAGGTAAACGGGGTACATATAATGGTTGAAGGAGTACCGATTAACAGAGTAAATTATGAGAGGAATGGGGTTTTAGTTACATATTTTTAAAAGAAGGTTCACCTTTACATTAGATGTTTATAACATATACATTTTTCAGTTCAGTTTAAACTTCACTTAACATTTGGTAAAAATCAGGTTTTGTCTCATCCAAACAGAGCTTCCGCAGGGGTCTTGATGACAGCTTAAACAACGGATTTGTCGGCCATTTTATGCTGGATGAGGGAGAAAATCTTCTCCCTCATAAGATGGCCGACCCAAAAAAAACCAACCAATTGTGGCCTTTCCCTACCTACTTGAGGTAGGGAAAGGTAGCACCAAAACCAACCTGGTTAAAACCAGTTTTTCTTCACAGTTGACCGGGGCACCAAAAGAACGTCCTCGTTCTGAAAATATAAACTAAAATATGGATTAATAATATGGGAATAATGTATATGAGAATGTGAGTTCGATTAAGTTTCACCAATCATTAATAGATAAATTGGCGTTGACCATTTTTCTTATGGTT